CCCCCCCCCCCCCCCTGCAGAAGGCATCAATGACGGAACTGATAGTAGCAATACTAGATTTACAGCCATTTGTGATCATCAAATTCACCCAGTGAAGTGCCTGTGATGACTGCCCTTTTAAGCAGTTTGCATTTATCACAGTATTATGCCAATAAACATCTGGTTCAAAGCTAAATTTGCTCGTCACATGCTCCAACCTTTCTACAAAACCCAAGAATCATTATGTTAAACATATAATTATGAGGGAGAGGTCCCTTTCGAACCACTTCCCTACAACACCACACAACAAGACCTAACAGTTCCTTCACAGTCATCCTTAAATGCCAGCTTAAAGAACGCAAACGCGGTTCCTCAACATTCAAACAATTTCATAATCTTGACCGAAAAAAACAGGGTATAAATTTCTCAAAAGTATCTTCAAATCCTATACAGCTTAATCGCTTTGGATAACCTAATAGTGACCCTACGCCAGTCATCAATAGTCACTGAACTAACAGAGATGAATCTCAAAGTACCATCGTTGGAAGGCAAAAATTGAACTACGTAATCAAAAGCAAGATTATCCAAATCCGAAGAAGACGACGAACAATACTCGTTTAAAAACTTGGGGAAAATGTGGTTTGGGGTGAACTCAAAGAAGAAGACCAATGTAGTAATGTACCACAAAAGAGTTCTGTAGGCGACGCACATTGACAAACATTGTAAGGCAGCGCAGCTTCAAAGAGCTTTTCACTTACATTCAACCCGTAGGTTGATCGGAGATTACGCGGCGGAGGGCGAGTTACAGAGGCGGGAAAGAACTGGGAGAGGGAATCATGTACGGTCAGCAAGAACTGGAAGACGATATTTCGAAATGGGCCTGAGCAGTTGAAATTTGGGCCGACCATTGGGCTGTTTTGAGAAGCTCATGTACTTAATGGGCCTGAGACTTGGGCCGAATCCCAAATTATGAATTAATTAACAACACTAAATAGCTAAATTATGTCGTACACGTATCAAACATAAAATAAAATTTTGAAAAATAAAATATTAAAATTTAAAACATTAAAAAATAAGTGATATTTATCTAATAATTTTAATTATTATTAACGCATGGTAGACCGTTATTTTTGTGGTACAAATTAATTTCTCTTAGCATTATTAATTTTAATATTTATGATATAATTGTTTAAATAAATTAACTAATTAATTTTTATCTCCTTATAATAATATAATTTCCCGTAAGTAAAACTGGTGCGAGATGAATCGGTAGCCAGGGTACGGTGCTTATCTGTGTGCACTAACCTATATTCCACAAAGGGTGGTGGTCGATCAAGACAAGACAGTGGTCGTGGAAGTCAAAATCCGCTAAAGAGTGAAACAACTAACTTGTCGAATCAATTAGTTTTGAAAATTTACGACGCTGAAGTGTGCAACCTATATCATCCAATCTCACTCGTCTTGTATATTCGCATTTGAGTACGACAATATATAACAATTTTTTTTCAACGACAAAAAATAAATAAGTGTTTATTTTTCCCCTTTGCCAAGCTGTTTAGAAAGATGCATTATTAACTTTGTTGCTTTCAATGGCTGAAAAATACATGGAAATATGCAAAAGCTTATCTTTTTGTATAAAGAAATAAAATTGCAAAAGAATATTAAACGAAAGCTTTTTTCTTTTTTTTCTTTAATTTATCGATTCGATTTTAAATAATAAATGTCAGTTTTATTCGAAACTTCGAATTTTTATTTTTTTTCAAAATTAAATAAAATAATAAAAAAATGTAATGAAACCTAGAATTCCTAAATTATTGTTCATTAGTTTCGATTTTTAATACTGATTTCACAAAAGTAATCTCGAATTCCCATTTTTGTTTTAGTTTTTTTAGTTTAAGATCGATTTAAACATCAATTCTCTAGAAAAAAAAATTATTCTCGATAATCAAAATTGAAGGGAAGAAAAAAATTCTACCAAAATTGAGTGTTTTTTTTTTCTTAGGAGAAACTGCAAAGAACCACCCAATCTCAGGACTGCTTTCCCATGTTTTTTTTTTAATACACATTCAGAGATCAAAAAGTTATTTATGGATTTTTTTTTTCTTTTGGTTCTCTGGAAATCGGGTCCTGAAGCTGGTAATGAGAATTCATTCTCAGCCTTCACTCAGCCTCACAATTTTCGTTTTCCAAATTGGGAAAGTTGTTTCTCTGTAGAAGAAAATTTGTTCTGATTCGGATAGAAGATCTCAGGCCACCGCAACGGTGCCGGATCGAACAGTTTTCTTGCTAGATTCTTGTTTTCTGTGGCTTTGAGTGCTAGAAGAAGAAGTAGTAGAAGAAGAAGAACGTCTCCAGTTTTTCTCCTTTGCCTCATCGACATCAATCTGTTCTTGCCGGCACTCTTTGCTACAAAACGGAGTGTTTCCTCTGCAATACAGTAACAAAACTTTCAATTCTCAGATCAAAACATCAAAATCAGAACAAAACGACCACAAATCAGTCCGATCTAAACATAATTCAACTCCAAAATCACTTTTCATCACTCAAACAAACCTAAACCTAAAAAGCACCACACAAATTCGATCTAGCATAATTCGACGCTTATCAAGCCTCAAATTATCAACAGCTAAACAGAAAACTCTCAAATGAAACTCAAGATAACCACAAACTCTTTGAGGTCATGGAAATTGAACAGACCTGTACATGAAGATATCGGAGTTGCGTCCGAGCGGTTTCCGGCAAAGAGAACATGAATCAAGGAAATGAGGCTCGGGTATAAGGTAATCAGCGCAGCCGGCGTAGAATAGCGGCGCAGTTCTCATAGTGAACGAAGGAAAAGAAACGGAAAGCTGATGAAAATTCGCCGGAAATGAGAGCAGAAATCCGGGAGCTTAGAGTTTTAGGGCTAAAGCTCTGAGAAAGAAGACAGAGAGGAAATGGGAAGCCGAAGGGGAAGGAACACGCTGGGGCATTTGGGTTAATTTATAATTGATTGCCTGGAAAGTGAGGGAATCAAGTGCTTCGCGGACTACAATAAGCATACTTTTTTCATTTTTAATTATAATTTAGTTTGTAGGTGGAAAATTAATTTCGTCATGTTTTTTTTATTTATTTAATTTCCATCATTTTCAATTATTTATTAAAATAATTTAATATGTTTTTTCATTATTGGTTATTTTATGGAGTTGTTATCTTGCATTAATTTCTTTTACCTTTGCAATAATTATAATGCCTAGATTTACATTATTATATAATTATATATAAACATATTTAATTTAAAATTATTTTTTAACGAGGAACTTTAAAAAATAAATTTAAACTATTTTATACCTAATTTTTTTAATATATATTCAAATCGAACAGTAAATCTTAATTAAATATTTAAAAATAAATAAATAAATATTTTATAAACTAACATTTTATTTTTATAAAATTTTTAGTACTAATCCTTATCCAACATTATTTAAAAATAATAATATTAAATTTATGATTTGACATTTCAATTTTATTTTATAAAAAAGAACAAATATGAAATTATTTGATTGGTTGAAATTACGTTGTTTTCAATAGAGCGCAAAGCAGAGGATAATTGCCCATAAGAAAATCCTGGTTTTGAGATGGGTGGTTTTCTCTGTTCCGTGGTGAAAATCTATTGGCTGGAAATGCATGCATCCTTTTCCCCAACCCAATGGGCCAA